CTCCTCGCCACTCTTCCAGACTGGTACTTGGGCTCACCCAGTCTCCTATCCAGTGGGTACCGGGGGCTGTTTCCCAGGGGGTTAAGTGTCCGGGGCGTGAAGCTGACAGCTCACATCTTTCTAGTGCCGAAATTAAGAATGGCGGAGCTATATGACGTTGCCCTTAATTAATTAAGTACAAGAACAACTTTACACTTTACCAATATGCCCATAGCTGCACTGAAATGTGAAGTAAAATTTTTTGGTACATATTTAGCAGAAATTTTCTGTGTCCATTTCACAAGGATGATCTGTGGAGTACGTTGGAATTTAATGCAAGAAGGGAAATACGTTGATGCAGAGGTGTCTTGTCACGCTCACAGAATGTTCAGTTTGTACTTTATTTTAATGAAGACTGCGATGTACTTGATACTCCATAGATCTGCTGTTGCAGCAGCAGCAGCAGCAGCAACCTCGGTTTGACGGGCNTGCGATGTACTTGATACTCCATAGATCTGCTGTTGCAGCAGCAGCAACCTCGGTTCGACGGGTGCTCCCAGCTACATATATTCAGTAGGTACTGTGGTTCATTTCAAGATTGGAACACAATTTACGCCTTGGGCACTATTCTCAGTTCGGCGGCTCCTGTGCCTGACCGTGGGACTATTATACTGATTGGTTTCAGGACCAAACATTTTTCCCAGCACCGGTGTCTGTGTTCCTGACGCTGGTTCCACTGATTGATTCTGTGGTGGTGTGCTTGACTGGTCACCAGACGCTCGCATTTCTCACCGTAGCACGCGTCTCAACTCCCTTTGCTTCTCGAGGAATGAGCATGGTACACAGTCCTGCATAATTCGTATTTCGTTGCCCGTTAAGTTGTGTTAATAATATTCATGTGGCAAGCAGTTTGCTGTTAATTTGCTATCCTCATAGAATTCAAGCGATTCATTTTTTCTTCCATTTTTATTATCATTCAACAAGTGTATTCTGGATTCATATACGCGTTAATGTCAGTGTACGTGTAGAAACGTCCTACACCGTACGTATATGGCTAGATCTACATTATTTGTTTATTTAACGGTATTATGTCCACTTGTCAGATTTAGGATAGCTCAGTCGGTATAGCGACGGGCTACGGACTGGATGGCCCGGGTTCGATTCCTGGCACTGCAAGATTTTTCTTTTCTCCATAGCGTCAAAACCGGCTCTGGGGCCCACCCAGCCTCATATCCGATGGGTACCGTGGGCTATTTCTCCGGGAGTAAAGCGGCAGAAGCGTGAAACTGACCATCTTTTTTAATTAGCCTAGTGGGGGGTGGAGTCCAGCTGGGTCCACTCGGCACGGCGGCCACTGATTGACCTTTTGTAGCCTGCCCCGGGTGATTATGATGATGCAGAATTCGGTGGAATGAAGATTGGCAGGGGAAACCGATGTACGCGGAGAAAACCCGCCCCAGCGCCACTTTGTCCACTACAAATCCCACTTGACCAGACCCGGGTTCGAACCCGGGCCGCCGCGGTGGGAAGCCAGCGACTAACCGCTTGAGCTATGGCGCGGCCTAAAGCTACCACTTACCTCCATCTTGTGTTGAAATCAAGAATGGTGGAGCTATGCCTCCACTCTCCCATATGTCTTCATGGCATGGTGTTGAACTAATAAGAGGGCCAACACTTGCCTTTTATGATTACATTCGCTCGTACGTGTATGGACTTAAAAAGGTCACAAAGGTGAAGCTATCCCTGTAACAGGCCGTGGAAGCCGATAGGGTTGTGAGACATCCGAGTTCCAACATTTTATAGAAAATCGGCTCACAGACAGCTGTTAGGTTATCAGCCTTACGCACCGGTCGTCCTTTGCCCACCGGGAAAATTCCTCGTACTCATTTCTGTTAGAGGCTGAGTCGACCCCAGGGCCATAGTGCGGCTGGAAGGATTAAGTCAGTTGAAAAATCCAATTACCTCATCGGGAATCGAATGAAAGAATCTCATATGGTCGTGTAGGTACATTTATACTCATTCTCGATCAAGATACCAGGTTTCTGTTTCAGGTTCCGGCCGTTTTCACATCTCAGTTGAAAACTATATCGTTATGCCTTAGATAGTCATACGAAATCCAGTGATTCTGCATGCAGAAAACCCTCAACACATTATCATAAACAGCAACAATGCAGACCGCATTACTGAAACTCTTCTTTAAAAACTGTTATCTGACCATCTCCAAACAGTGCCGTGATAAAAAAAACATTCACTCCTCCATACATCTTCATGCTGTAGTGCTTAATTAGTTAAGCACAGGGACAATTGTATCTTTAATATAAAGTCTAATTTGTTGCTAGTAATCCAGCACAATACAATCGTTGCTATGACAACGCATTGTCTCGGTGCTCAGGTACCATAAGCGAGCTGACCACAAAGCAATAAGATCACGTACTAACTCTGATAAAAATTCTTTGACATGGATGATAGCTTCCACTTAAAAAAATAAATTAAATCTCTGTATAGCGTTTCCAAGCAACTCACAGTGATTCGAGTGCATGTTATGATTGCAAAGCCTTCACATTCGCCCCATTGCTTATATGTGTTGCTGCCATGCGTGCCAAGACTGCCTGCTACATACCTGTGTCTAGTTCCAAGGTCACTTGCAAAGGGGCAATGAGATTATAGCGACGCTAAATACGAGTATAATCTTCAGTTGATACAGCGTCTTTAAGCCCTCGAATAAACCTGTGATGCCAGAGCCGTGGGATTGTTCTTATTGTTTCAGCAACGTAGGAACCGAGAATATTAAACGGAGAGTAATTTCGTGATTTTTAACATTTTCTTGGATTCGTTAATGAAGTATGTTAAAGCCGACGGAAGGTTAGACATGACTTGCATGAAAGCCCGCCATTACGTTCTCTCCTCTCGAGCTCAGTAGAGCTCACATTACCAAAACTCATCCTTAACCTAGGGTTGGCCTAAATATTGTCACCGAAGGGGTTGTATTAGGGAGGTTTTTCATTCGAATCTTGTGTTCGGACACCAGATATTCTGAGATTTTCTTTGGGTTTCTCAGTCAATCTAGGAAAATTCTGGGATAGTACCTCAATTAGATCATGACTGCTTCCTTCCAAATACTTTCCCATTCATCGCCCATTCCATCGTTCAACACTGGCTTGGGAGACTGAAAATTTGTCGTAATCCTCATCCAAACCGACCCTTAATATTGTCCCCTCATCTTCAAGTGATAACTGAAATTAGCCACAATTTCGTAAGACTATTCTTTCCCTCCCAGAAACGACAGATTCAAGGGGGGGGGGGATTCATGACAATAAATCCGTAATATGAGGTTATGTCTGCTTGCCGGAATCTACAGCGAAGCGATCTACCTTGGTGCCCGAGCTGTAGATTGAGGGTCTTGTGAGGTGATACTCTGACCGAGGCTGGCTGAAGTTCTCGTATTGTCCCTCTTTTTCTCCAGCCAAAAGTCAGTATCGTTGGCTTACCTTAATTATAGGTTACCGTCCTTTCCTTGTCCCAGACTTTACCAGTTCAACTTGCATAATTACCCTTTTATTTTTCTCCAGCTACATAACCATTACACTTCATACAGCGTTGTTAAATAACTCACCGCCGACAATACGACAGCCAGGTAGTAAAGTGGCTGTAAGTTCCTTCAGTTGGACCAGAGATGAGGTGAAAAAAGGGTCGATTTAAAAAGCGTTCTCTCCGTTCTTCTTGTTGGCTGAAGCTATGTTGCTCATGAATAGTTGGTACGATGTTGCTAAATAAATGTAAGGCTTGGGGCTCGTGCTGGTAGGCAGAACTTGGCGAAGTTTCTTGCTCCTGTGTGTGCAAGCACCCATACGCCGTCATCATCTTGCTTCTCGCTTCGCTTGCTTCTGTAAGCAAACTGCATCACAAGAGTGGCACAACTCGCTTCTGCATCAAAATGGAGCATCTTGTGTATAGTACTGCTGATATCTGAGGTACCATGAACTCTCTTCGCCAGCTCAAACACTGGGATCGTGGGTTCGAATCCCACTCAAGACATAGATGTCTGTGCGTTTATTCTGTGTGTAGCTAGCGGCTTTGCGACAGGCTGATCCCCACCGAAGGGCTCCTACCGGCTGTCTATGTAATCAAGAAACTGTAAAACAGAGGCTAAGCCTCATCATGGACTGTAGCGCCCACGTACTACTACTACTACTACTACTACTACTACTAGTAGTAGTAGTAGTAGTAGTAGTAGTAGTAGTAGTAGTAGTAGTAGTATAGCTGCTTGATGATGGCCAAATAGACCGACACATAATCTAATAAAGTAGATGGAGGCGATACGTTCCTCCGAAACGTCGGTTAACACCACATATACACGGTGCCAAATCCCAGAAGACTGCTTTCTTCATAGTCACCGTAGTGAAAACCTCAAATCTTACACAGGTACATATTGCCACGTGTTGGGTGTATAACGCAACAAATAACTTCACGCCGTATTTGATATAGCGAATTTTATTTCACATTCGCTCTTACAATCACACAATTTACAAGCTCAACATTACTGCCATTGGCAATTCATGCAGTTGTATACAACTGTGTTAGACTGCTACTCTGTGGGCGCTACAGTCCATGATGACTCTGGGCCTCTGTTTTACAGTTTCTTAACCACATAAACAGTCAGTAGGAGATTTTTGGCGGGAGGTCAGCCCGTCGCAAGGCCACTACCTTCACAGGACAACACAAATATAGAATGCACCCAGACAACACATCCATGCCTCTAGTGGGAGTCGAACCCATGACCTCCAGTTCGTGACTTTGACCGCACGACCACTGTGATCGACCATCATCAGCTTTTGCATTCAAAATCAGTCTTTCTGACTTTTATTCAGTCTTTTTCTTCCTCGTCGGACTTTTGGTATGTAGATTACCAGTAGCTAACCTGCTTTCTTCCAGTCTCTGTAAATGAAGGAACAATTTGTTAGTAATCAATTATGTCTACGACACGGAATTTATTTAATTTTTATCTGCTTGTCTGGTTTCAGAGAGCCGGCCACTTCAGCTACTTCGATCCTTCTCTTTTAATAGCCATTAAGTCCAGCCTTCTGATCCTATAAAAGTAAGTACAGCCATTGATTTATTAAGCTTCATATCTTCGTTCTTGCATTCTGTATTTAGAGCGTTCTTTTAATTGGGTCGCACATATATTTGAAGCGCTTTAAATTCACAATAACCATTTAAAGACAGAATTTGTTTAAAATAATATATAAAATTTCAGTCAGTACCTCAAAGGAAACACTTTGTCTCCGCTACAAAAACCACCAACCGGTTAATGCTGTTTAGGGAAAAAAATCGCTGTTTATTGTGAGAACCGTACGAAGCACAGAAATACAATCTGCGGGCAGAATGCAGTTTTGGTACATTAGATCAGGTGGTACGTATACTTACCATTGTTCTTTTAAGGCTTAAAGTAAAGTAAAGGTATCCCTGTAACAGGCCGTGAAGGCCCATATTGTTGTGCGATGTTGAGGTTCAAAATTTTAAGAGTTAAAGTCATGAAAATAGTTAAGATGTATAGAATTTTCAGACGTTTGAAGGCACTAACCTTTCAAGACGTTTCATCCAAATTTTTTGGTCCTTAAAAAATTCGTACCATTCGTTCAACTGCGAAATATTTTTGAAGTGTTAAAATTTATCATGATGAGAACTCTTGAGACCCATTCCTGCTTTTGCAAGAAAGTGGCATTTGTAGGTGCGGTCTTTGTGTCGCTCTTGGTTAGAACTACAATAAAGGTCGTGAGTGAAGGAGAGGCCGGGCAGTGAAGCAGAAAGCTTTCATACCTGTGTACGTGGTTCGGTCCCAGTGTGACACGTGCCACAGGTGTTCATTTTAGGGATGCTGACCTTCTTTGTTTTGAGTTTCGATGGCGTAACTCCCGGTACCATCAGGCTGTTTGGCTCCTAGTTTGTTTAGATGTGCTGTACCAACTTCTGGTGCTATAGCTGCT